ACACACAGAATGTAAAATACTGAATGTACAGACCCCAGCAAAGCCCTTAGTCCCCCCAGTCTTCATCTCCGGGGAAAGTATATGGTCCCAAGGCAGTAGAATTGTGCTATGAAGTGGCAGGTAGGTTTAATGTCCTGCCCAAAATGCCTCAAGAGCAGCTGCATTGGTTTTCACATTCAATCATAGGCTAGCCCAGCAGTTCCTGTTGGCTTCTTATTTAGGGATCTCAGAACACTTTAAGTTATCCCCATTCTACAGGCTGGGAAGCTGCAGCTAGAGATCTGTCATGGGAGAGAGAACAGTGACAGAAGGGTGGAAGTGCTGCTTTACATCCTTTCAAACTGATCTAGCTCCCATTTCCTATGGTCTTGCTCACCTCCATCTGCCAGTTTCTTCTCCTTGCTGATATTCAAAACTCCCACAGCAAGCTGGTTCCCCTCTCTGACCTGTTGGGCAGGTACTGGGTGCCACTGCAGGCTCAGGGAAAAGGCAGCAATATGCACATGTGGAGAGATGAGGGTTGGGGGGAACAGAAACAATCCAGATTTAAATCAGCTTATACTACCTCAGCAGTGGGTTTCTGACACCAGGCATGCACATACCAAGACAGGCCTGATTCTAGCAAGAAATATTTAAATTAACTTTGGAACTTCTCTCGGTGCATTGAGAAATATAGACATTAACTAGAGACTCCCAACATCTCTCCAGATAAGACTACTAAAACCTTCCCTAAACACAGGGAGACGGACACCTACTTAGGGGAAGGGATTGGAGCAAGCCCATAGAGCAGACCAACTTGCAGGCCTATAGCTGATTTCTGTAACTAACTCATTTCCCTTTAGTTACTTAATTAATGGCTTTGCAGGTGCCTGTCCCACTTGGGTGGGCCATGTGTAAGCAAATAACTCTGCCTTAAAAGAAACTGTTCCTCTTCTTTATTCCAACTAGCCTGGGACAAGGTGGCGAAGACCGCAGCCAAGCATACTTAAGAAGAAGGCTGTGCAGTGAATGGCAGTATTTTTGGGCTCTGGAGGAGGAACTATGTTAGCCATGGACTTCACTTGCATTAGACCTTCTCCTACCTCATATAAAATGTAGAAGAGAGCTACTCACCACTCTGGAGGAACAAGTCTTGACCAATCTCCACCACATGTGGGAGCGGATGGGTGGTGGATCTCATCATTGAGCTGCATAGTACCACTACATAGTACTATGCCGGGCAAACCTAAGCCTTGGCTTCAGTTTACATGGAGCGTTCCGAGCCCTTTTCACTGTGGCTTGTGTCCCACTGGCAACCCCACAAACACCCCCCCACACCCCTGACCTGGCAGCACTTCCTGTGCTCTCAGTGCAGATGTCAGAGATGGAGCAAGGGAGCAAGATAAGTCAGAATCAGACCGGGGAGCTGGAATGTACTTTTCTTTTTTTTTTTTTCCCTCTCTTCTACAAGACATCCGTCCCTCATGAGACTATTTTATGGTATGAAGATTTGAGCTGAGCCCAAAGAAACAAACGGGAGAAGGTTTCTTGTGATTCTGGATCAGACCCCTGCTCTGGTGTGACTGAGGGACCTGCAGAATGGGAAGAATTTTTAACATTTCAAAGAGCTTTGAGGAGCGAGTGATGGTGAATATTGCAGTCCCAGGCAGGGGATAGCTAGCTATAAAGGTATCTCCCTGTCTACGGTTCAGGCTGCCTGAGCTTGCTGGTAGGACGTGCCTGGAGCAGAGTGCCATCTATTGGAAGGTGGGGGAACCACCCCCACGTCTGCCCCCATGTGCACACACTTGACTCTGCCCCCCTACCAGGCTTACCCTAGTGGGACTGGCATGGGGTACCTGGAGTTTTACTGGGACTCAGCAGGGGAGGCAGAGCATGGCCTCGGCTCAGCTGGGACAGCAAGAGCAGCCGGGGGCAGTCAGTTTCCAGAGGCAGGAGAGAAGAGGAAAACTGCAGGTAAGGCATTTAAGTTAAGTTCTAGAGCTGATCTTTGGGATACCTATGTCCCTAGTTCAGTCACTCACTTAACAACCTTGGGCAAACATCTTTCTCTCTCCATGCTATGGTTTCGTCTCGTGTGAGCCAGGCAAAAAGCAATGTGATGGGTGAGGAAGATGGGTGATATTTGGCAGTCATAACACCTTTCTATGCAGCTTTTCTTTTGGTGGTTATAAGCTGGTTGTGTAAACTTCACCTGAGCTTGTGGGAGTCCAGGCACTGGGAGCTCCAGGCACTGTGCTTCAGGCTGAAACACAGTGTAACAATATGGCCTCACAGAAGTTCATGGTTGTCAGGGCACGTATATCTGGGCCTCCCTTTGGCCAAATGTTGTCACATGTGCCTAAAGAGGAACAAACCCAAGGGTAATTCTGCTCTGGACTTCCCTTAGCCCCCTACAGAGCTCTGCGTGGCCTTTATGTGCTCATTAAACCTGTTTTTTGCCAAGTCATGCTCTGAATCACTGTTCCAGGAAACCTGTTTGCTCCCTTTGAATCCAGTGTTCCTCTCTACTTCTTTCAGTCTGTCTCTGTTTCCCTCTCCTTTCCTTGGATCTGTCTTCCCTGCCTTTTCCTCACTGCAAAAAGTCCTAGGCTTTTTCTGCTCTTTGCATTCCTTTCCCATTTCAATGAGTGGCAATAGAATAGCTAATGAAAGTAGCTCTTCATTCAGTCCCATTGTATGGCCTGCAGGGTCACTTTCTGAGTGCCTATTTCAAACTATCACTGCTGTAGAGAGCTACAGGCTTGACCAGAGGGACTAGTGGCTACTTGGGACACGGCTACTTGCCACATATGTATTTTGGACAAATGCTTAGGTTCTTTACATGCTGCCTGCACCATAAAGACATCAGGTAGACTGATTCCTTGATGCCCCAGACAGGCATCAGATACGCCTGCTTAAAAACAGGCTTCTAACACTTTCCTTCAGTGCCGTTTTCTTCAGGGAGAGCCTGGTCATGGGAATAAAGGCCTACTACTTATTACCTTCATTTAAAGGCTGGTGGGAGCTGGATCTGACTTAGGTTTTCATATTTCTGTCTGTTCCACCAATGTCTGTGTTTCTTGCTTCCTCTTTCCTTCACTCTCTTCTCAAGGGAGAGAGCATCTTTGGCCAGCTTTGTGGGGGCACTTGAGCTGTGGAGGGAGGGGTTTTGAATGATGGACTGAGCAGGGACATGTGGAAGTTTTAGCTGAATATTGTTGTGCTGTTGTTCCTATCAGCATATAGGAACCCATACTTTCCAAGCTCTTATTCTCAGTGTGCTCATTTTCTACCTACAAAGTTTTTTTCTGCACAGCCTGCCAGAGCCAAGCATCCTGTGGTCAGCACATGAAATTCTAGTTATGCAGTTCCCAGATGTTCAGCTTCCTCTCAGACTCTGGGGTTTTCCCCCAATGTACATACTACCTTAGGCACATGCACCTCTTCTCTTTACAGTTCATTTCTCCTTGTAGCCAGAAATACTTTGTAATTCTCATGGCTCTGCTCCCCAGCACCAGCAACCTGCCCCCCTACACACTTGTCTCTCCACACAGCTCGTGCTGCATGCTATCACTTCTTAGGGTTAGAAAATAGCTGAGAGGAGGCCTGTAAAACAGAAGCAGCCACCCTGAGAGTGGGAGGCACCATAAAGAGAGCTTGTGCCTCTGCCAGGATGACAACAGGGAAAAAAGTACCACAGACGTAGCCTTACAGCCTTCTGAGGCCCAGAACACCTCAAGGCTTTTGGGTGATTCCTTAGTAATTTCTTAGCTGACGATAGAAGAAGAAAAGGTTTGGGAGAGTGAGCAGGGAGCCTATTCCTCAGGAGGGCATCAGTACTCTGTATTGGGCATGTGTTTGGGGGGGTTGAGGAGGGTGTTTCTGTGGGCTTCTGAGTCACAGGCCTCAAGGGGATGAAGAAGGAGTTTGGGAGCTGATGGGCTCAATATTCAGAAGGTGTGTATCTAAATGGCACTGCCCATGCACTGCACCCATCTCTCTCCTGAAATGTTGGTAGGAGGAGAGGGGATGAACCATGCAGAAGGGTTTCCAGAGGAAGAAGGCATGGGCAGATTTGGCAGTGCAGGTGTGGGGAGGGGGATATTGGAATCCCAATCCTGCAACAAGGACTGCCCTGAGAAGGTTTCAAGACTCTCATAGACCCCAGCACCCAGGCACCTGACAAGGGTAGTGGGGTAATCTCTCTTGTTAGCATTTTTCTATTCAAAAAGCTTAAATGGCTTTGCATCTGAGGAGCTTTTGTCTGGACCAGTGGCCCAGATTGTTTAGGAAGTTTTTCCTTTAGATCTTTATCTCACCTTTGTCCTTCAGAGACCCCCTTAGGATATGTACCAGGACAAATGAGAAGGGGCCTGGACAGCTTCCTCTGCACTCTTGAATTTTGTGCCCCATGTCCCTAATACATTATCACTGAGTCTTCTCACCTCTCTCACGTAACCACCTTTTCTGTCTCCCTTCCCAACTTCATGTCCAATCTCTCTGCTTTGTTTTCTTGCTAAAAGCTTTCCTCAGCCTAATAGGTCACTCCATCTATATATGTTTCCAGCAGTGAGACGGTCTGTTGGTGAGAGCCACAGGCAAAAAGGAGTGAGCCAATATGGAGATTGCTTTGCCATTTTCTATCAAGTGCCTTGAGATGCTTGGGCAGACAATACTGGGGAGCCAAGCTACCAACTCAGGGCTATGCTTTCAGTCATGGCTAGGCCTCTTCACACCACATCAGACTGGGCCCAAAATATTACCAGGGCCTTTTGAAGGAGGATATGCAGGATAGTAACACTGTGAGTCAATGATGTGCATCACTCTCCCCTCTATGCCCTAACTTCTCCACATGTCAAAATGGAACCAGGGTCATCCTGGAGGCCTAAGCTAGAAAGCTGCCCATTGTCAGTGGATTTGTCAGTGCTCACAGCTCCATGCGAGTAGTAGGGATACACAGGCCTTTGCTTCACTCATGGCTTTTGTTCCGTAGACAAGGAGCTCTGATCTCATCCCACAGCAGGCAGGGAGCATACTCATACCTGTACAGCTGTTCATTATGTCTTGTACCTTTTCCTGTATCTTCTTATTTCTAGAAGTATCTCCAGGTTCTTCCAGTTCTGGGAATTTCAGCCAGTTCACACCAGATTCAGCCACCAGTCCACATTCGGCATCCTCATCCCCACAGCCTACTGCTAAGTCTCAGAAGGGTGGAGAAGCTGGCACAGCGGGGGTGAAGAAGGCCAAGAGCCGCACAGCTTTCTCCAAGGAGCAGCTGCAAACCCTGCACCAGCGGTTCCAGAGCCAGAAGTACCTCAGCCCCCAGCAGATCCGGGAGCTAGCTGCTGCCCTTGGGCTCACCTACAAACAGGTAAACATGGACACTGATCCATGGCATATCTGTCAAAAGAATGACTGAATGATCACATAAGACAGTGACAGGATGGAAAGATGAGTCTCCAGTACAGGGTAGAGGCAAAAGTGCCAGCTGACAGTAGCTCTTCCCCAATTCATACCCAGAGATCGGAAGCACTCTGAGGGACAGGAGAGTCAGTGGCACATGACTGGGGCCTCTTGAGCCCCCAGTGAGATGGTGGTTAAAGGGATTGTTGCTGACATTTGCAGTAGTATTGCAAATAGAGTGGTGTGTATGTGGTTTGTGGGAATGACCCATACCTTGGGCTTGGCATCCCATTGCAGACTTTCTCCAGGCACTGGTGAGCTTCATGCCAGAGCCTGGCATGCACCAGTTCTCCTACTCCCAGAGTTTTCTGCCTGAAACATGTTGCACAAGCACTTGCAGTTGCAACTCCAAAATCTATCTGGAATTTGGATATCAGAGCTGAGCATGATGGCCTGGGCACCCCTGGATGTCCTGGGACTAAAGTAGTTGTTTATGCATTGTACGTGCATACATACACACCCACACACTGAACTGGCTCTGTTAGGAGCAAGGCCGGCAGGACAATTTGCTATTTCCTTCAGTCAACATTCCTGCAACAGCTGCTCTCACAGTGCAGACACAGCCCTGGGGGGAAAATGGCTCTGGAATTCACCTTAGCAAGGAGGTTTGAATTTGGGAACTGCTGGATACAAGAAACAAGCCTTTCCCTTTTGTACCCACATGCACACACTGGTTCCCCTGCAGAAACAGCGTCTCAGAAGTTTGCCTGTAGTCCAGAGGTCTTGCAGGGACCTGGGTGGGTCTAATTTACACCAGTCATCGCCATGACTCTAATGAATACGTAAGTCACAACAATAACTTTCATGTGGACATAATGTCGTGCCCTTGGCATAATGACCTCTCCCCTTGGCAGTATCCCCAGGTAACTCTTACAGGGTTATCTACTGCTCCCTGTATATTTATGCCATCTGGTCACTCTCTCCTGATTCTCTATGGCTTGTGAGTCAGAGATAACATTTGTTATTCCCTCTCCTTTGCTCATGTTTGCTCTGCTCTCACCTCCTCACACAGGTAAAGACCTGGTTCCAGAACCGGAGGATGAAGCTGAAAAGGTGCCAGAAGCATAGCTTATGGATGGAACGGGCCCAATGCCTCACACAGGTAAGAATATAGCACATGGCTTGACATAGTCCTTCTGTCTGGGCAGAGAAGTCCTGTAGTACATTCCCTCCACTGAGGCAACTTAACTATACAAGTGTCAGCTTATCCTGCCTTCTGGTTTCATCAGCACAGGGACACAGATATGTCATTGACTCTCCATGTTGTGCAGGTGGCTTAGCAATGGATTGACTATGCCACTTAAATTAAACGGTTCCAGGGAAAACCTGTATTCCTTATGTAATGTGTCCTACTGAGCTATGGGGATGGATAGAGTTCTCCTTGCCCTTCCATCCCATTGTTGCTAATTAAGACACAATATGAAAAGAGAAGAAATAGAGCCCCAGTATGTTTCAGGTTGTGGGCACCAGTGCAGAAGCTGTGTGTTTTGATTCACTCTGTCTTTCCCTTTCAGAATGGCTTCCAGCCAAGTACTTACCTGGACGTGCACCCCAAATTCCACCAGGGCTACTCGATCACAGGAGCCAGCAACATCCAAACCATGCCTTCCCCCCTTCAGCATTATGGTGCAGGGCAGAACGTTTGTACCATCATGACCAACGAGGATGGGGGAATGTTTGGCAAGGGCGGGAGTACCTGCAGTGTCCAGCAGACAGTGGGCTTCATTGCCCAGCACAAAGTAGACTTTTATCACAGCTATCCTGGAAGTGTGGAATATCCTGGCACAAAGACAGGTGATGGCTATAACTTTCACCACCTGGCCCCCGTGGGGGAACCTTTCCCAACCACTGCTGGTCACCATTTCTATCATTCCTAAATACTGTGGATGTGAGGGGCTTGGGCAGCTGGGAATCAAATCTTATTCTTCTCTCTCCATTATTTATGTGTTCTCTGACTCAGGGGCATCACACACCCCTCCTTCTTTATTGGCACGTACAACCAAGTTCTCCTACAGCAAGACCCAAGATCTGGCTAACTAGGTTATCCTGTAGCTCTTCTAAATTATGGGCCTGATAACTTGTCTCAGAGTAGGCACAGATTCCTTTAAGAATCTCATCTGTATGTATTGCTGTAGAGCTGTGTGTATGTGTATGTGTGTAAATATATGTGTGTGTGTGTGTGTATGTACACATACACACGTGCGCGCGCGCGCACACACACACACACACACACACACACACACACACACATATATATATTTTATATATACTTATAAACCATGAAGATGTAAGGCGAGGTGCTGGTCACGTATCTTTCACTGAACCTGGAGAAGTTATTGTCACATGCCAGGCATCCATCTGATGAAGCCACAAAGTATGGAACTGATGTAGAGCCTACTAAAGGAAATGTGACAAGCAGCTTTTGGGAAGGCTTGTGAGATGATCTTATAAGGAACAAAATGACAAATGGGGTCTTTCTTCTAGGCTGTATCTTTCTATGTCTCCCCTTGACAAAAACTGAAAGTGCATTTAATTTGGCAAACAATAAATTTTTTTTTCATTTGAATTATGTATTTTTCTGTATGTTTTTTCACTGTAACAAGGCATTGCAACATGAAACCCAGATGAAAAGTAAATAAGCGTAGCAACCATATTCCGCTGTTATTACTGATTTGATTCTGAAACTATGGACAGAGATTTTTCTGTTATCTGTGGATCAGCTTCACTACTCTTGATAATATCGTCAGATATCTAGTGTCAAAGGACCAGAGGCAGTAACTACCACCTTAATAATCTCTTCTAACTATCAATATTTAATACTAGGACCAGGCTAAAACACAGATATATCAGCATTTCTAGACTTAATATTATTTAGGTGTTTAACTACGCAAAAATAGATATGTGTATCTAAGTATATTAATTGGGCCCCAGTTCCCTCGGTCATGGGGTTTGTATCAAACTCTTTAATGATGTCAATTACTTTTTTTTAATGTAATGAAGCAGCTCTCATGGTTAAAAAAATGGGTATAAGATGAAGGCAACTGATGCAGGGTATGTCTGAGACTGGAGAAATAAGAGGTATCAGTGTTATACTGCTAAAGCCATTTACTCTTCCATATGTACTACTGCTGTTCCATCCCACCCCTCATGCAGCCACTATGTGCCTCTTTGTTTGTACAGCTATGCTGTTTATAGAGCTGTACTGTAAAAATTGGATAGTTAGTATGATTTGAGGAAAAAAATAAGGCTTTTTGGAAGGGTAATTTCTAAGTCAGATCATTTTGGAGATCCATTTTAAAGCACAGGTACGCAAACACTTGTCCTAGTCCCAGTAACTGCCTAATGTTTTTGCGACCACTGCCCCATCAGAGGGTGGGGATCCATGTAATTAGCTTAACTAAAAAGCACCCTTAAGATCCTGATTAACATCAGAAGGTGGACTACAATAGCAGCAATTACCAGGGTCCTCACATGAGCGTGAGGGGGACAGTTTTCAACTCTTTTTGGAGCCAACCTGCTGGTACTAACATTATTATGATATAATAATCCTTCCTATCCATGGGAGGATAAGCCTTCCATGCCATCCCATCAAAGGCTGTTGCAGGTGGAAGACATTGAGACTGGTGAGCAAGGAACCTTACATTCATACTTTTCTGGAAAGGAGTCACCTGCCACACCCTATTTCCTCAGGAATGCTTTGGGACAGGTAGGATCTTGGTGTGATGCCTCTGGGGCTGGCTTGCAGAGGGATGCTAGCTGTAACAGTGAGAGCTGCAATAACCACACTACTGACCTTCAGCAAAACTATACTAACACTGCAGATTCTTACAGTTTCCTCAGAAGCCCCGTAAAATATTTTTTCCTAGGGATCGTCATTCAAGAACAGAACTTATGGCCATAGATGGCTCTGGAGACCAAAAACCTGAAGCAATTCAAACAGGCAAGTAAGCAACTTCCAGGAAAGGAGCACACTGAGGTCTGCCTGTATTAGGAGCTGCATTCCCACCATTCTGTGTAACAATAGAGGGAATGCAGCTCCTGATACAAGCAGTCTCTTTGCCACAGGCAGCCAGAGAGGGGGACACAAGATTTGCTTTCTTTTCTGGTCTTTCCCCAGTATCTAGCAGAGGCTTGGATGGACCTTGGGGCTCACCCAAGGCAACAGTTCTGATGTTCTGTTTTTTAAGAGATTCACTGATTTGGATAAAGCCCAGCTGCTAGAGACACACCCTGCATGTGCGCAGCACAATTTCTGTTAACAATGAGAAATTTCTTCCAGACCTTAGAGTTACAGAAAGGGTCTACAAATATGACCTTGTGGTGCTCTTAAAAATTCAGGACAACATGAAAACAAAATGGTCTTTACAGGAAAAAAAAAGGACTTTTTTTTTCTTCTAATGCCAGTGCCATCAATTGGGGTCCCTCATGCCTTTTGACTGTTCAGTATCAACAAAGACACTATTAGCCACTGAGGGTGGGCCAAGCAGGAGATGTGTGGCAATGCTTTACTGAAAATTTCCAAAGCTCTGTTAGCTCAGCCTTTGAGTCATGCAGTGTAGTTAGATGACTAAATATAACATTTACAAATGCCTCTAGGGGAGAACCTATTCAAGTAAAGATCACATCTTTAATCTGCACTGGAGAGACAACTGGAGCTGTGGGCCCTTGCTCATGGACCACTCAGAAGAAGCGTGTAGCTTGTAAAACAGTGCTGCAGGCCACACTGAGAGCAAGGAATGAAGTTGCTTGCACCACACAACTCGCTTGGTATTTTGCCCATGGGACAACAAAGGCTGGGACCCAGTAACCTAGAGAATAAAACTTGGTCTATATAGACAGTTTTTACTAGCTCCTCCTTGTTCGTTTTGGATGGGATTTGTTGCACTACTTGGAACTACACCTGCAGCATTAACAAACTATAATGTTGATGCAGCAGAGATATCATAAAAGTATGGTTTATTCCTACACATTACAAAATATATAAAAAGCTTCATACCAGCCTAAGGCTGGAGCTTTACCTAAAAAGATTTGCTGGTAAGGTAAATCATGTTTGTAGTGTGCAGAAATCACCGTCTTACACAGCAAAGCAAGCAGCAGCCCTAGCAGAGGTTAATGTATCCCAGCAAAAAAAGGCCTTTGTCGACATGCACTTACTTCCTTCAAGGAAATGATATAAGCCATCTTGGCTATATAAGTCTTGTGGGATTAGTTGTCGCCACCAGTTTTGGTAATAGTGCTGTGATTACCTGCATTGCTGTTTCACACATTGAGGTGACTCAGGCACGTCAAGATAACAGAGAAGCACGCCAGCAGTGCGAATGGGCTAAGTCCTGCTTCATTCCATAGCTGCTAGAAACCCTTCCTGACATACTAGTAGTCCTTCCCAGACCACTTGACAAAATTCCAACAGCCACTTTGCATGCTCCCTTGGGCTCTACAATTACATGTTCTTGTCAAACCTGCATGCACACAGGGCTGAACAATCCAGCGGAGTAATGTAGCCATGCAGGAACATTCCACTACTGCAGAATGCTCCCATAGTAGAGGCAGTAACAGAAACTATTGTAAACCTTCTCCTACAGCATGTAGGACAAGGTCTCTCAATCCCAGGGCTATATTGGCAACAATATCTCTTTTGAGAGGAGGACATCTTCCAGTAGAGCTCTGGATACCTACACTCTCACCTCCTCACCCTAGCAGCAGAAACACGGAAGAGAAACATGCCCAACCAAACACAAGTAATCTCTAGCAAGCATCTCTACAATCTTTCTGTAAAGATCTGTGCTTCCTGTATGTTTCTTTAGAGCTTACATTTGCATTTAAAAAAAAAAGCGAAGAGGAAGAGGTTAAAAAAAAAAAGTGGAAGCTATTCATTTTAGAGCTGGGACTCAAGGCTTTGGTAGCTAGGACTTCTATAGGTGTATGGTTCATCTTTGTTTTTTTGATCAGCGTTAACTGTTTATATTAACACCGCTGCTAGAGCAGAATCCACAATTCAGCCAACCTGATGCTGGAACGCAAGACTCAGCCAGGATGAGAAAGAATCTTTGTTTTGCAATAAAGGAAGTAGTGTGGACCTGGCCTTTTCCCATTTGCAGGCCAGAAAACTTTTTCTAGTTCAAGATTTGCAGCCTATGCATAGACACCTTAGACTTCCTCCTCCTCCAAAGGCTCAGCCTCCCACTCCCTCATCTTCCTACACATATTCAGCTTCATCCCTTGGAAGCACAAAGCATGACAGTACCGCAAAAAGAAAGAGGACATGCTTTGGCATAGCTGAGGTAAGTAATGCACCCATACAAGCTGGTTCTGTACAGTAAAAGACTGGCAGTTTGAAGCTGAGCAGTCAGCTGTCAGTTTAGCTATCTGTGCTCAGGGGGAGTCCATATGCCTATTGACCTACACTTTCAGGCCAGATGAAAAGCTTTGGTTGTGTACCGTGGTTTAAGGAACCTAGGATTAAGTAATAGACTCTTTTTACCAGTTGAAACTATGGCCTTTAATAGGAGCTTAGCTATGCTGACACAATAGCATTGGAGTTTGAATATGGACCACTGCTTAGTTTCCATGAACAGCAGTACTAATGGAACATCCATTGAGGGCTGCAAATGCATTACATAGGTTTTCAAACTAATAGGTACCCAAGGAAACAAGGGTCATTAGCCAGCCAAAACTCCCTGAGTAGAAAGGGGGATTGGTGGGTCTCCAAGACAGTTGGTGGCTGCTGATGCTATGCTCCAGCCCTAATGTGAATACCTTCTATGTTTCAGTGCCTTTTAAGTATTGCTTAACTGTTAAGTGCAAAGAAACACAGTCTTGGGACAAAGCAAGGAAGCACATTTGTTCCAATGCAGGAGATAACTGAGTTATCCTGTCATTTGGCTCTACATACAAACAGCTGCTGCTATTTGAGGTGCAGTAGGGTAGTACAGGAATCCCCCACAGGGCTGCAATTTCATATGACACAGGACTTCTAGAGCATCTATGACCTTCTGGAGCAGCAGCAGGTGGCTAAACAATCTCAAAAGATGCTTTTGTCAGGCTCTAAACTAAGTACCCCTCTTGGACTCAAAACCATGGTTTTGAAGCATTACAGCTCACAGCTCAATACAGGCATTTTACAGGGTTGTACATCACTGCAATCCAGCAGCTCAGTTGCCTAGCCTTGGAGCACATAGCATTAGGGAGAGCCCCTGCATATCAAAGACAAGACTGATGGAAGTCTATCAACCACTCCCTTTAGACAGCTGCTTGATCATGCCTCTTCTGGGAGGAGCACAACAGGGTTCAGTTTCCCCCCTTCTTCAGTATAATCCTAAACTTCTGCAGAATAACCATTCCCTTGAAAGCCTTTTCTGATGAAAAATGCAAGCCAGCCACACTACTATTTCAGCATTAAAATAGTCATTTATTTTCAATTCGGACAAGATTATAAAAGCATTAGGCAGAAACAAAGTAATAAAAAACCACATACACAAAGGATCAAAATCACTGCAAGAAAATATGTTAAGAAAAATGATTCTAGAGCAACAGTAAACTTATCTCCTTTGCAGTCGAAGTTCAACTATAACACAGAATTGCAGTAAGAATTGTGCATTAACAACAAAGCCGCCCTACCACAGAACTATTTACACTTTCACCACCTCATACCATTATTGACAGCTCACACAATCATTTTATATTCTTGGGCAGTGGCAGACTGCACTCTGCAGTTCCACATCCCATTAAGAAGTCAGTTTCACACACAAGTTGGAGCAGACTTCCAGTTTCCCCAATACTGGCAGGGATGATTCAGTTCTCCAAAAAAAATGTTTTTCCTCATTCTGTCCAAATAGGTTTCTCTAAGCTTCTCACCTTCCCCAGAACTTGCATACTGATGTCTGATGGTTTAGCCAGTGCCCTTTTCAATAGAAGGGCATACAAGAGACTCAACTAAGTCCCAGGGAAGGGATGAAAAATCTTACTAGCTTACACGCTGCTCCCCTCTACCACAGGGAAAGCTGCATTCTAGTGGTGCTGTGTTTGTGAAGTGCTAGGGGACCTTCATGTACCGATATGCAAACTGTTCTCACCACTCAAAGAATGGCTACACACAGCCACTCCTCACACTTCCAACAAGAGCACTTTAGGATACCCTCTCCTGCAAACTGCAGGAGGGGACAAGCCAACCCTGTCAGCAGACAGATGTTGAAGGGGGAAGATCTAAACTGTGTGAGGACAAATCCAGAAACATCATCCTGAATAAGCCAACAGGTACAAAGAAGTTAACAGCTTTGGGTACCACAGAGAAAGTTTTTATGTCAAATACGGGCCTTTCTCTCACTTTTCTTTCTTGTGCTCCTTCCCTCCCCTCAGTTGCCTCATTTACACAGGAAGGCAGCAGGCCAAGGGCAGGTAGGCACTGACTCCACTAGAAGGAGGAGCTAGGATTAACTTTGGATCAAGTTATCTGAGATAAGATGATCTCATTTAGCTCTTCAGTGAGGGAGGAGAGGATCCAGATGAAGAACTTACCAGCAGTTGACTGAAGTCGCAACAGAAATAAACAAGACAGCAGGGAAGATTCTGGGCTACAATAGGGCATTTCTAGCAGAAATATGCTGAAGCGCAGAGGAATTCTTTTCCAGCAAAGCTCTGCTGCAAGACACACAAGGCAAGGATCGGAGAATCAGCAGGCAGCAGAGGAAGGTGGGTCTTGGACAGTGGACATGAACCTTTTCCACCTCTGCTGCTTCTTGCTGTGGCATTGTACATTCTCCTCCATTAATAGTTTTACGTACCCAAACATAAGCCACCCTTGCCAGGGGTTAGCTATGCACAGCCAGATGCTTTTAATCAGAAAAGGAGCCCAAGGCAGCAGGGTGTGTGCCTCAATGAATAGAACAGGAGTTAGGGATGAAAGCAGGGGGAGGGGGAAGAAGAGAAAGGAATCAGAACTAGATCTCTGGATCAAGACCCTAGGAATTAATGAGAAAGCACTGTGAAGGGAGAAAGAATACTTGGGCCTAAGACTCATAACCATTCTGGGTTCCCAGGGGATGCCAAGGGGCCTGGTACTGATGTCGTACAGGAGAGCCTGAGAACTGTGTGATGCTGTCAGAGGTGCTCTGGAAGCTGTAGGTCTCATCTGACTCCAGGCTGGCATAATCCACATTGTTAGGGTAGCCATGATAGAAGTTCATCTGCTGGCTTAATAAACCCATGGCTTGCTGAGTATTGCTGCTTGTCCCACCTTTCCCAAAGTACCCATCATCCTCCACAGCCATGAACGGGTACAGGCCCTGCCCATTCCCATATGTCTGGCCACTGCTGTAAGCCTGGTGGACGCTGGCCACAGCCTGAAGGTTTCTGCTGGCACCAACAGGAAAGCCCTGGTGAAATGTAGGGGTCATATCCAGGTATGCAGCCTGATGAAACCCATTCTGGGAGAGAGAGAGAAGGATGTTCAGTAACAAAGAACACCACACCAATGGAGTCCATTCTTTTGGACACATTCCTGTTCCCCCTCCCCCTCTAAAAAATGGAAACAATAGAATCTATTTTGTACTGGTTGTCCTCACTGTAGACTAGTAATAGTGATTTAAGAACTTGTTCATCTCTGCTAATTCCTAGTCCAACATGTCTGTGAGCACTGTGCTAGGTAGAAAGGCACCAGGAATAACTAAATAGCCAAGAGAGCCAGCAAGGCTTTCTATCTGGTTTTAACTAGGAAGTAAATGGACCAGTAACAAAAAAGCCATTTTAATTGCCAGGCTAGGCTTAAAACAACACTGCCCTAAGCCTTTTTGAGAAATACAGAAATATGGAGTCCTGAACATTAAGAATTAGCATGTTGGACATGGCACACTTCTCACTGCATAGAAGAGCCCTGCTAACTGTTGGGAAGAAATTCTCTCACCTGTGGTAGATATGTCCCTTTTTCCACCCATTGACTCTCCTTCTGGCAGCGTTTAAACTTCATCCGTTGGTTCTGAAACCATGTTTTCACCTAGAAAAGTGATGAGGGGGGAAAAGAACATAGGGCATTACAAATTCTTTCTTACTAAAAAACTTACCTTAAAGATGTTTTGCCTACTGTTACAATACCGTTACTGCTTGGCTCTTAATACCATACACAACATCATGCAGCAGACACAGGTAGCAGTAGAATCACAGAGCCGAGACAAAGACTAACATTCTTATTGCTCAGGTCACCATGGAATCTTTCATCACTCATCAAAAGCAGCTCGGTATAGCACTGAGGTATTGCTGCTGTACAAGATCAGTGCTGACTCAGGAATGAGTCACTCCCTCTGAGTCATACACCAGTTGCTGTGGCTCTTTCTAGGGAAGAGAGGCAGGGTGCCACTCTGATTTAGAAAGGCAACAGGTCTATAGCAGTGCAAGTATCTATCCTTTCATGTTTATCAGATAACATACATCCATACAGAATAGTAACTTGACTTACTCTGCACATAGCCCTGCTCTTGTATGTACTCTCAAACACCTGCACAGCAAATAGTGCTGGAATCAACATAAGAGGAAGACTGAGTCATAACTTTTCACACCCGCTGCTCTCTCACGTAAGCAATGGCATAAATAAGTCAACGAGAAACCATCCCTCCAGGGTCTAAGGAAAAACAAAAAGCAAACAAAATAACCCCACGCCACCCTGTGCTGCAAGATCACTTCAGACCAGGGATGCAACTCAGCTGCTTGGAGCAAGATGTTCACCTGTTTGTAAGTGAGCCCCAGGGCTGAGCCTAGCTCCCGGATCTGCTGGGGGCTGAGATACTTCTGGCTCTGGAACCGCTGGTGCAGGGTTTGCAGCTGCTCCTGGGAGAAAGCTGTTCGGCTCTTGGCTTTCTTCACCCCACCCTCAACTTCCTCCTTGACCTTCTGGGAAGAGGGGTGTGGAGATGGGTCTTCTGTGGTTGGGCTTGTGGCAGAGTCTGGGGTGTACTGAATGAGGGTCCCAGAGCTGGAGGAAGCTGGAGAGATGTCTGAGGAGAAAGGAAATGAGTGAGCAGAGTCAGATAGAGGAGTCCTACCCCCCCCCCCCAAAAAAAAAAAAGCCTGCTTTCACATGAGGATTTAGCATTCCAGGTGCCATGAGAATGTGCACAGGCTTTACAGCTGTAGGCATCCTGACTCAAGAACTTTGCTGAGTGTCTGCACACACGCATCCCTACAGGGGAAGGGGAGCAGAGACACCCGCAGATGCCCCTCTGCGAGGGGGTCTTGCATTCCTCCCTATTTCACCCACACACAGATGCCACGCTGGGCCCTGCAGAAGGGGCCCGACAGCCCCCCCGGCCCGCTCCCAGCCAGGGGACGGCTAAAGCCCCAGTAGCCCCGGCCATCAACACCCTTGCAGCGGGCGGCCCCCAGGGGCA